AGAGCAAATTTCGGATATCAGGACGGATATAAAATGTGAGTGGGCCGATGACAGATGTCAAACACCAGAAAAACATAAGAGACCAACCGATTTTGAAAAAATCTTCGATGAAAGTGCTCAGCTTTTTAAATGGCTTGAGGGGTATTACAAGTCTAACCTGACACACCCATAACAAAGTGCACTATGCTAGATGGTTAATTTGCAATTCGCAACATTTACCGCAATAGATCCTACTCTATTAACAAACCAGCCCGATGCATTCAGTGACAACTCGTTCCTAAATGTGAGAACGAAACCAAAGCTAGGAAGTGTAGGAGCCCAGTCCGGACATTAGGTATGGGGGAAACAGAATGGAAAGAATCTCATTAACGTCCCAGCACTCGTGATTTATTGCTTATGAGTAGACGGAATTAACAAGTCCTATGAGTTATTTAATAGGGTGAGTTCAGAAAAAATTAAAGAGGCGAACGAAAATAGATTTAGGACGTTATAAAAAGGAACTTGTTTGAAGTGATATCGTGGAACCTAACGTTAGCGAAAGGAAATTAATGGAGTTGAATTGGAAAAATAGAAAGGTAAGAGGGTTTGTCTGAGTAATTAGCGCGAAACAAGCAAATAATTAAAGCTCACATTTCCAACATAAATTGAGCGCAAGTCAACTTCAGCTTTTTCATCCTCAGATAAAGTAGAGTTAGCAGATTCTGAACAAAATAACGTGCAAATGAATTCAAAACGTACTTAGGGCTGGGGAACGGTCCACAGTAGCTCTGAGGTCATGCAACTTAGTCGCATCAGCTTCTAACTCTTTAAATCGTTCCTTTATGGCCTCAAGCTCCTGATTAAAATAATATTAGATATTATTTACGGGATCAAATTGAAAATCATCCGTTGTGTTAGCGTCATCTTTGGAAACCTCCTCTGAAAATTCATCGTTTTGATTGTCATCATTACTCTCGAGGACAAACTCAGACATCGTGGGATGGAATAAGGAGGACGCGGGTCCAAATTTTAGGACATCAAAACAAGTAAGAACAGAGAAACAGAAAAGCCATAACTTCAAAAGGTATTCTTAATCTTAGATATTTTTTAAAAGAAATGGAATATTTGTCATCAAATAGTGACGTTTAAATATTTTTATTAGTTGTAAATTAACAGATGTGCTTATGCATTTCGCAACTTGCAATCAACTTAGTAAAAGCGCTTTACATCTGCTTATATGCCAAAAAACAGATAAATAATTATAAGAGAAAAGCTATATGCATGAAAATTAAAGCAATAAAATAACTTATCATCCCAAAAGAAAACATGTTTACTACAATCTGAGTGAAGCCCACAAATGTCGGTTTATCTAGATTAACGGTGAATTGCCCTCATGTTTATATGTATTGTAATCATACCAATCCATTCTGCTTAAATCAAAGAGTTTAGGCTTATAATGCTGAGTGAAATTAGCATCCTTTGACCAGT